AGTAGAGGTATCCATGGGAGGAGGTGCTGCCTGGGCATGTAGAGAGCCACACAGGGTAACTACCCCAAAGCGTTCAGGTCTTTCCTCACCTGAGCAGTGTTTCACCATCCATATAGCTGTTGGTTCCCATGCTGGGGAGGAGATGGGGTTGCTACCCATGTACTCTACATGCTGCTATAAGGAGTGTGCAGTATAGACGTACTATAGGGCAGGGGATTAAGGGTTCTGGATAATTCAAGTTTCTGTGAATAGCTGAGAGCAATGATAATATGAAGAGTGCTGGCTAGATACATGACTGTCCTTAGTCCAAAGGTGTTTTGAGCTTAGTAATACTTTTTTTTTTTTTTTTTTTTTTTAAAGGGTGGTTGGATGACATTGGACTTCCCCAGTATAAAACTCAGTTTGATGACGGAAGGGTGGATGGTCGAATGCTCCATTACATGAGTGTTGTAAGTAAAAGGCAGAGGTTTTTTTCTGGCATATTTTGTGTTCTTGGTTTTGGTTGGTTTTGTTTGTGGGGGCACTTTCCTGCCTGTCCTGGGGCCCCTCACCATGACCAGTTTCCACCTCATGTTTGGCCTGATACAGGCCACAGCCTCTTACAATATGTCTTGATGGGATAAACGCCGCACTGCACAGCCACAGTTGGCGTACGTCAGCTGACTTGGGCTAGTGGCGCTTGAGCTGTGGGACTAAAAACGGCTGCGTAGACGTTTAGCCTTGGGGTTTGAGCTTTGGGACCCCTCCACCCTTCCAGGGTCCCAGACTTGGGACTCCGGACCGAGTGCAAAAATCGACACCACAATGTTTCAGCCCCGCAAGCCTGGCTCAGCTGATCTTGGTCAGCCACAGGTTGCTTATCCCTGTGTAGACATACCTGCCCCACCCCCTTGTAGACCTGCTTACTTTACTTCTGGCTGGGGGGAAAGGCAACAGTTCAGGTGAGCAAAAACCAAGCCCTTCCTGGAGTCAATAACATGGCGAAAAGGGCATCACCTTACTCTGGGGGTGCCCAGTTAGCAGCTTCATTGGGCCTTTCATGGCTGGATAGCTGAATCAGCCCCTCCCTGTCAGATTTACCCCTGGAGTTTGCTGGATTCCACCCACAAGTGGGAGGCTTATTCAGCAGCTCTCTAGTCACACCCCCTCTCAGGATGTCCCCCTTGATGACTGCAGCTTTCCCCTTTTAAAGCTCTCCTCCCTACCAAGCATAACTGACAGGGGCAAGGGTATTTTAGAACCCAGTGCCTCCCAAGACCTGTCAGTGCAGGAATTATGTACCTGTCATGGATGGTTTAATGATTTGGTTCACCTTGGCTTTTTATGTGTGTACAGCCGCCAAACCACTTCACGCAGACCTCTCAGTAGCCTTCATGCACTAGTACCTTTCATCTCTAGTGCACAAGTGGTCAGTTTCCATTGTCAGTCACCTGACCATTCATTCCTTCACAGCAATGTCTGAAAAACTTTTATCAGCTACAGTTGGGTTATTTATTTATTTAGCCATGTGAATGCTTGTGCCTGCCTTGAATTAAAATGTAAAATGAGTTGCTGGCAGCATTTGGTGATGACAGGCTATGGCACTCTCTCATCTAATCATTCCTTGGAATCTCTTGCACTAACTTTGGTGCTATTTTGATGGAAGTTGCGCATTTGGTAGAAATAATTCTGGGAAATCTTGGCGAGGGGGATACAGGACTCTCATGAGGTGGAAAATATGTTTTGTGCCTTTCAAAATTACCAAAAGGAGGAGCTATCCCAGCATTTCTTACATGTGGCACAGTAGGCAGACACCTATATCTATCTTTTCAGGGCATTATAGATGCCAAAAGTAAGTGTGTGTGTGTGTGTGTGTGTGTGTTCACACCTCTCTTTAATTTTTCACAGGATGATTTGCTGTCCTTGAAAGTTGTTAGTGTCCTTCACCATCTTAGTATTAAGAGAGCCATTCAAGTCCTGAGAATAAATAACTTTGAACCCAACTGTCTACGCAGGAGGCCGTCTGATGAGGTAAAATATTTAAAGTGAAGACTAAATCATGCATGGAGAGTATAATCCACTGGTTTACCTTATAAATGTTTCTTACTCTACGTATCCCAAGTCTTGACTGCTGTGTATCCTGAACTGTCCCTGTCCTTGGCTTATTCCCTTCTTCAACTTTCATGTGGTGTCTTACCTGCCTGGGACTGGCTACTTTCCTTCTCCTTGCCTTCTCCCAAGCCGTTGAGTGCCTTCTTGACTCTTTCTGGATCATATTCTGTGTTATGGTAGTTTAAGGATGGCATTAGAATCTATTAATTATTCTGAATTAGAGGCACAGTTCCTCTAAAGCGTTAGGTCTTGATGAAATCTCTCATTTACTAAATATTTGCCTCCTAGAATGAGTTGAGTCTTGTAATCAAATATCACTTTGGGCTGCCAGTTTGTCTTGGAGACTGCTTGCTCTTGACAGGGAATTATGAAACTAAAATAAGGCCACCAGGACTGGGGTTCAAGATGCATCACATCCACAATTTGAATACTATGTGCAGATGTGGTTGTCCCATCTCAAAGATATATTGGAGTTGGGAAAGGTTCAGAAAGGGCAGCAAAATGATTGAGTATGGAATAGCTTCCATAGGAGGAGAGATTAGTAAGATTGGGACTTTACAGCTTAGAAAACAGACAACTAAAGGAGGATACGATGTTATGCTTATAAGAAACACATAAGATTTTTATAGAGGAAAAGGCAACATGCCGCATTTATTAAGAATATTATAGGAAAGCAGCTATCATGTGCTTACACACACACACACACACACACACACACACACACACACACACACCCACCCACCCACACACACACACACACACACACACACACACACACACCAATCAAGTTTTATATTTACCAGCTTACGGTCTGGATTTCTCTGGTGACCAGATTGAGCATGGATAGGGCTCTATCGGTCTGGACCGATGCTCTTGTTTTGACAGGGCAGGACCCAAGCACTGTTGCAAAGCAGCCCCTTTTCATAGCAGTTGTTCTTCATTGAGAATCATAAGTTTCATTTGATCATGCTGTAATCAGTTTCCATTTGACGAGTGCTTGTTTTCTGAAATTGTTCTTCATCTGGTGACCAGATTGAGCATGGATAGGGCTCTATCGGTCTGGACCGATGCTCTTGTTTTGACAGGGCAGGACCCAAGCACTGTTGCAAAGCAGCCCCTTTTCATAGCAGTTGTTCTTCATTGAGAATCATAAGTTTCATTTGATCATGCTGTAATCAGTTTCCATTTGACGAGTGCTTGTTTTCTGAAATTGTTCTTCAGCTATCTTGTCCCAGCTGATAAGTGCTTGCCTTATCTTCTAGAGTCGTCAGTGTGCCCTTCAGCCATATCTCAATAGGGGTATACAGCAATCTCCTGGCACCTTTACACCTGCCCTTGGCTCCTCCTGGCACCTTTACATCTGTCCTTGGCTCCTCCCTAGAACATCTGGTCTGGTGATGGCCTTCACACTTACCTTCTAACATACATTCCTCATTCTGCACTCATACAAATAGATCCTTTTAGTCTATACCCGCTTCAACATGAATTACAAACACAAACAGTCTGTGTAATGCATCTTTACCAACAGCATTAGGCTGTTCCTTTCTGCAAGTCAGAAAGGATGGTTGGTAAGGCACGTTACATTTCATAAAGTTACATTTTGGTTACATGGCTACAATGATAGAGGTCTATAGAATTATGACTGGTGTGGAGAAAGTAAATAAGGAAAAGCATTTTACTCCTTTTCATAACACAAGAACTAAGGATGACCAAATGAAATGAATAGGCAGCAGGTTTAAGGAAGTATTTATTCACACAACACATGATCAGCCTGTGGGGCTGCTTGCCAGTGGATGTTTTGAAGGCCAAGATTATAACCAAAAAAGAACTAGATACATTCATGGAGGATAGGTCCATCCATGTCTATGAGCCAGATTGGCAGGGATGGGGTCCCTAGCCTCTGTGTGACAGAGCGGGTGATGGGATGGATCACTCACTTGGCATCTGGTATTGGGCACTGTCACAGACAGGATAGTGGGCCAGATGAATCTTTGGTCTGACCCAGTATGGCCGTTCTTATGTAGAAATATAAACATTTCGATTTCTAAATTGGTGTTCTGGTTAAAATTAATTGTTTCCGATCAAAAGGCCTTGTCTAAAAACTTCCTACAAGTCCTCATAACAGTCACAACAATATGAGAGAGCTTTCTTTATTCCACCTTTTGATAGCAGTACCAACTGCTGTTCAACAGACTTTTATAAATGACCTTGAAATATCAGACTTGGAGGTGTGAATGGTGAACAAGAGACAGCAGCCAAGTAGCGTGGAAGAGATCCGTTCAACCCATCAAGCACTTGGTAGGGTGCCTCCTAGGACAGCATCTCTGGTGAAGACATGGGCTTGAAAAGCTTAGATCTCCTTTATAATTTCCCAGTGTTTGGGGGGCTGGATCTGGGATTATGGTGCAGGTATCTCCAGTCTGATGGTATGAAATGCCACGAGGTACCATTGAAAAAAAAGAAGTGTTATGCATTTGACATGGTTGGTTAAAGAGAAGGGCAGAAAAGGAATCGATAAGAAATCTCTCTAACTTCAACTACTCTCGTTTACAGAACAACATCACCCCCTCCGAGGTTACTGAGTGGACCAATCACCGTGTGATGGAGTGGTTACGCTCAGTTGACCTTGCAGAATATGCACCTAATTTGAGAGGAAGTGGTGTACATGGTGGCCTTATGGTAAGTATTAAGTTTTTCACTTGGGGTGTATCTAAACTACATGGCTCCATCAACGGAGCCAAGTAGATGAGTTTACTGTCGATGGAGCCATGTAGTCTAGACATACCCTTAGAGTCCAGATGAGATTTTAAAACTAAATGTGGCTAAAATCAAGCCATGTTAGCTATCGCCTTTGTACTTCAGTCTCTCCAGACGGGCGGTCACCTTTCATAAGCTTTGTAATGTTAGGAACCATTATAAACCCCAATGTGTTGGCCATTTGGGTAACAACATTTCTGTACACTTCAACTTTCCCTTGCATTATTTCTTGCCCTAAACTGTTCTATAGTGTTGCTGTTCTGTGGTATTAAACAGCTAGATGTGCTTCCATAGTGGGTGAGTATTTTGGTTCTTGTGAATAGTCTGTACATCAGTTGGTAAAATACTTTTGGATCCTTCAGGCACTGTCATTAGCAGAAATCTTCTTTGTATAAGTGATATTAATCTCTGGCTCAGATACCACCATCAAGAGAGAGATGTAAGTAATTAGGTTGGTAGATCAGATTCTTATACAGAAAGTGATTATAGAATGCAGAATGTTGTCGTGCTGTTTTGAGAAACACACAACACTTTCGCTTTATGCCTGTTCGCTTTCCATTATCATTGTCGTGCAGCTGAAATAAAATTTCCAACATTAAACCCGAGATGAAAAATACACATTGGCACATCATGATCAAGTTCTCCATTTATCCAATCAGAGTAACATTAAAAAAAAAAAGGGGGGGGAAGGTGGCTTTTACCATAAATATTTGCACATTTTAAACATGGTGGTGGGTCAGTCTATTACTGTCTCTTGTTTACTGGTTTGTTTCCTTTGAGAGCTCTTACTGCTTAGGAGGGTTTCTTGAACAAATGGTCTCGATAATAGATGAACAGACAGGCACATTTCTAAAATACCTAGCTATATTTCCCCTAAAAATGCACCCTAAAAAGTACCCATAAAGTCTGGCATGACTGCTGGGATATTGATTTCGGTTTGACTCTCTGTGGTTTGTTTCCTAGGTCTTGGAACCTCGTTTCAATGTGGAAACCCTGGCACAGTTGCTGAACATCCCACCCAACAAGACGCTGCTGAGACGCCATTTGGCAACCCATTTCAATTTACTGGTTGGTCAGGATGCCCAACGTCAGAAGCTGGAAACCATGGAATCTCCAGATTACATTCTTTTAACTGCAACTGCCAAAGTGAAGGTAGGTCAGTCCTTGTTACTGTGCAGTGTTTGGGTGGGTACATTTTAAGCAGCAGTTAAAGCACCAGTTTGTTGGCCGTGTGGTGGTTTACAAGTGTTCAGAGTGCTGTTCACTGAGGCTTGGGGAGAAGGAAAGACAACTAGCTCAGTCATTAGAGCATCACACTTTTAATCTGAGAACCCAGGATTCACGCTCCTGTACGTTCCACTGCTTTTTAGCATGGGTAGATGATCAGTGGTGAAGAAGTTAGACTGTGAGTTAAGAGATCTGGAGGACCCTATCAGCAGGGCTGTGAAAAACTTGTCATGGGCTGTGATATCTGGTCTCCCTTGTGAAATTTGGTTTTTTATATACTGTTACCCAATAATATACAGATTTCACTAAGGAGACCAGTGTTGCTCAAACTGGGGGTCCTGCCCCTGAAGGAGTGATGGAGGGTTGCAAGGTTATTGGGTTGGGGTCAAGATATTCCACCTTTTACTACTTCACTGCCTTCAGAGCTGGATGGACAGAGAATGGTGACTACTGACCAGACACCCAGCTCTGAAGGCAACATCCCACCAGCGACAGCATGGAATTGAGGGTGGCAATACCGTGCCACCCTCACTTCCATACTGCTGCCTTTAGAGCTAGGTGGCCAGAGAGTGGCAGCTGCTAGCTTTCTGGCAGCAGTATAGAAGTAGGGGTAGCAACACCACAACTCCCCTTCCCATATCTTGCCATTTCCCTCCCCCCGCCCCTCCTCCCCCCATCCCCCCACACAGTCACTTTTTGGTTAGGAGCCCTGCAGTTGCAACACTGACATTTCAGAGATAAATATCTGAAGCCATGAAATTTTAAAATCCAATGCTTCGAAATTGACCAAAATGGACAATGAATTTGATAGGGCTTTAGAGATCCAGAATCAGTTCCTGGTTCTCCAACAGACTTTGAGACACATTGTGCAATGTCTCTCTAACTGAGTTTTCCAATGGTGAATGAAGACAATGCTTCCTTTCTCCTGCCTTTTGCCCTGTCCATTTATATTTGCAAGCCTTTTGGAACAGAAGACGATTTCTTTCTCTGTATGTGTTCAGTATTTAACACAGTCAAACCCCGATCTCAGTTCTGAGCTTCTGGGTGCTTCTATTACACAAATAAGAAGAATGAGGGTCAGTTTCTTCTTGGCTTTAGTGAAATTTGAAATGTTCAGGCCGATGTGTTTAGGAGAGCTGTTGGTTCTGAATCTCCCTTATTTGCTTGCAGTTAAATAACTGGTGCAAAAATAAAGACTTAGTTGAATCCAGGGGAGTAAATTACTGAGTTCCTGATTTCATGACAATTTTTTCCAATATTTTAAGCCAAAGAAGATTGCCTTCAGCAATTTTGGAAGCCTGAGGAAGAAGAAGCAGGAAGATGTGGAAGAATATGTGTGCCCAATGGAGTTGGGACAGGCATCTGGAAGTGGGTCTAAGAAAGGGTTTAAGCCTGGCATGGATATTCGAGTGTATGATGACGACGATCTGGATAGACTAGAGCAGGTGGACCAGCTTTTGCTGTTTATATTCTGTAATGGTGCTGTTGAGTTCCTGTTTCAGAGTTGGTTACCTTGGCTTGTTTAATGCCTTGTCAGCAGCAGTAATGGAATGCCCTGATGCTGCCAAAAAAAATATGGTTCCTGACACAAGTCCCAACAGTTATTTATGCATGGAATTTATCTCCAGGGATGGAGATTCCACAACCTCCCTAGGCAACTTATTCCAGTGCTTCACCACCCTGACAGAAAGTTTTTCCGAATATCCAACTCTTGGTGCAATTTAAGCCTATTGCTTTTTGTCCTATCATCAGATATTAAGGAGAAAAATTATTCTCCTTACCTTTTTGTAACACCCTTTCAAGTACAGATTGAACCTCTCTAGTCCAGCACCTTCAGGACCTGACCAGTGCTGAATCAGAGAATTTGCTGAACCATGGGAGGTCAATATTGTCTAGCATTATTACCAACACTTCCACTGCTTACTGGGCTCTTAGAAGACATTTAGGGGTATATTAGAGCTAAACAACAGCATAGAACACTGAGAGCTAAGACTGGACTTTATGAGACTGCAGGAAACTTGGCCACACCCATGACAAGTGGACATCCGGCTAACTAAAATCATGGACTGTGGCTATCGCTGGACCAGAGTATGCCATGCTAGAGAGGTTTAAACTATACTTGAAAAGTTCTATCATGTCCCCTCTCAGTCTTCTCTTTTCCAAACTAAACAAACCAAGTTCCTTCAGTCTTCCCTCATAGATCATGTTTTCTAGACCTTTTATCATTTTTGTTGTGCTCCTCTGTACCTTCTCCAATTTCTCCACATCTTTTCTGAAATGCGGTGCCCAGAACTGGACACAATACTCCAATTGAGGCCTAATCAGCACAGAGTAGAGCGGAAGAATGACTTCTCCTGTCTTACTCACAACACAGCTGTTAATTAATGATGTTTGCTTTTTTTGCAACAGTGTTACACTGACTTATTTAGCTTGTGGTCCCCTATGACCCCTAGATTCCTTTCCGCAGTACTCCTTCCTAGACAGTCACTTCCCATTTTTATACTTGTGAAACTGAATGTTCCTTCCTAAGTCCTTGCATTTGTCCTTTTGAACGTCATCCCTTTTACCTCAGTTTGTCCAGATCGTTTTGAATTATGACCGTGTCCTCCAAACCATTTGTAAACCCCTTCTCTTCTCCCCCCGCCCCCGGCACCCCAGCTTGGTATCATCCGCAAACTTCATAAGCGTACTCTACGTAAAGCATGTGTGGTGTTTAGTGCACTTATTTAATCACCACAAGAGAATAGTATAATTTTTGTATGTGACCTGTTTCTTGTAGATGGAAGATTCAGAAGGGACAGTGAGGCAAATAGGAGCATTCTCTGAAGGCATCAACAACTTGACAGTAAGCCTTACAATTTTACCAGAACTAAAATGTCTGTGTCTTAAATATATCCCAAAATTTTAGACAATCTCCTGTATTAAGAAATAGCCCAAAATATTGCCAAGCATGCGGAATACAACTCTGCTTCATTCTTCTTAGCTGGCCTTCTGTGTTCAAGAGCTGATTTGCACCCCCCACCCCTACTCCCCCCGTCCTTTGAAACTTGTCCAAAGTAATCATGTAATCTATTGCAGAACTTGGTGAAAGTTAGTTTTTATATTGTGAAACGCTGGCTATACTTAAGTAGGCTGAAAGTCCAGAATTTTTGTACTAATCTGAGTTCTGCTAATAGCTAAGGCTAAGATTTTGTCACCGTTTTTTTTAGTAAAAGTCAGGGACAGGTCATGAGTAATAAACAAAAATTCATGGAAGCAATGACTTGTGACATCAGTAAAAATAAGCAGGAGGTGAAATAAGAACAAGGCTAGGTAGGGTGGAAGTATGACAGCTGGAGTCCCATAGGGAGAACTGACAGGCCAATCCTTCCCTCCCCCCACCCTCCCCAGATGGGTTAGGGCACAGGCTTAGCTCCAGCAGAATCATGGAGGGGGAAGGGCCTCACAGCCCCCACTCCAGAGCTGGGAGGCAGGGGCATAGAGACTCAGTTCCAACCGCAGCATAGGTACACAGCCCTGGCCAGAGAGAAAGGGGCACCTAGCCCTGGGAAGCCACAAGGGGGTGCCATCTCCCACCCAGGCTCCAGCCACTGACCAGCTGAAGCCAAAGTAGTCATGGAGGTCGGGTAAAGTCACAGAATCTTTGACTAAATTGTAGCTTTGTTTATAGCGAACACTGGAAAAGGTGTAGATGACAGCCAGATGTTCCAGCTGAAAGTTCTCCGCATAGGGAGGAGCCCCCAGCATGTGCAGAGCTTTCTGGAGATGAGTCCTGCATCAGTCACCCTCATATGGGAGCAATCCTACTGGGGAAGAAGGGTGTGGCCACTATGCTCTGCAATCCCTGATTGGTCAGTGGCCCTTTATCGGCAGAAGCAGCAATCCTGGGACTGCTCTATATTATACCAAGAACCAAAGCAGCCCCAAGATCAGGCAACTGCAAATGTTTCTCTACTGCCCTCCCCACCTACCATACACTGGTTGCAGGGGAGGACTCCTCCACAGAGGATTCATTGCGGTTGCATTGCATTTTATTTTCCTGAGACGACACAATTCTGGATTTAGTCCGTGTCTGTGTTAATGCTTCCTTTGTTTCCTTTGCAGCACATGTTAAAAGAAGATGAAATGTTTAAAGACTTTGCTACTTGCTCTCCTAGCGCCAGTATAACAGATGAAGATTCAAATGTGTGACAATAATTGCCAGTACCAATAAATAATTCAATTTCTTACATGCTAGGAACATCATGGTTACATGTGATGGGCAGCAGATCATGTACATTACATTGCTCTTGCTTCTGTTTGTTAGAAGTGATATTTTTGGGTGGTTGAGGAGGAAAGGTGCCTATTTTAAAGTTGCCATAAAAATAAACCAACCAGACACTGGTGAGTGGTAGTATAATTGTTTTTACTATATTTAATGTACAAACCTGTGACATATATTTCAAAGTATTTCATTTACAGTTTGCTGCCATAATGTTCTTTATGCTTATTCATGTAGTGAAATCTGCTGTTTCAGAATAACCTGAAACATTAAGTAGAATATTCAACGTATAGCTAACCTGTGTCCGTATTCACTGTTGTATTCAGCTGGGGAAAAAAGATATCACGGTGTCCTATTTTAATGGATTTGTCCAAAGTAAATACCAGTTCTTTTGTGTAGTATCCAGTGTAGGCCTCGGAGTCCCATGGCCCTACACAAAACTCAAAGGTAACTCGTGACTGTTGCTTTCTTATTTTTATACTGTTTTATATAAAAAATATGAAGTTCATGTAAAGCAGAAGTTTTATTTTGTGACATAAAGTGGTGAAAGGTTCAAAAAATTTTTAAAGGAATAATCCGAGTTTGCTAACCAGCTGGTTACTGGAAAAGTCAGACTGACCTTTGACCTACTTGCTTCCTTTCGTTTTTAATTTTTGCTGGGTGTTGTCAACATTTGTATGGTTGGAATGAAGCTAATGTGAAATGTAGATCTGCTTGCATCACATTTCTTAAACTGTACTATCTGAAATTTCCTTTCTTTTCACCTCCAGCAGCAGCTGTTAACATTTAAAGTAAGTTTTAATGGCTTTAGGTTTTTAAAAATATTCTGGAAAATTCACAGCTTGAAATTGGAAAGTGCTCAATCTGGGGAAGGATATTTCTGTGTTCTGTTTGCAGGAGGATGGCTTGTATAGTTGCAAAAGTTATATGGAGAAACATAAGAAATGTATAATTTCCCAGTATTAAACCTCAAACATTTTTTGCCTCAAAAATAAGTTAAATACCAAAACATATGTTGCCGAATACTTACGCCTCTGTAAAGCACAGCTCCTTTCTGCTTTGAAATAACCAGGTTTCTAAAATTCTCACTAGCCGGGGAAAATCTTTTGTCATACATTCTATAGAATAGGGTATTTCTTACAAAACATTGCCAGCTATTTGTCTGTTAAAGTGATGATTGTTAAGGTGTTGCATGTTGCATGATGCCCCATGGCTTGTAAAGAAAAACTGCAGCTTGGCTTATTACCTTACCCATGTTGTTTGCTTGAACAGAAGGGTTTCAACATACTTTTTTTTTCATCATAGTTGTTGTTACAAGCACTGGGAAGGACACCATTCTAGACAAGTTGCTTATACAATGTAAACAATGTGAGAGTTATGGCAATTTCAGCACATCATGTTTTGTTACAGAAGTTGGGAATGCAGTTGAGATGTTTTCAAGATTTTGTTTAATGTGGGCTTGTACAGAGGGATTGGAGACTTTTTCTGATGTTTAGCAGTATAATCATATCCGCTGTTACCAATCTGGTTCTTTAAAAGGTGTGCAGCGTAGGTTTATATTTATTTATAACTACAATAGATTCAATAGAACCAATAATGTTGCGCATTACATTAAAATCTGCCATTCATTCTTTACTAACCAGAACCAGGCAAAGAATACATAATTATTATTTATTCATTATTCAAAATTATTGACCGGATAATATCTACAAATAATGCTCGATGTATAGCTGATTGATCAGCAATGTCTTGTGGTGATTTGGTATCTGAGTTGTTTTGATTGGACAGGTAGGTTACATGGAATGCGTCTGTTCCCTGACTGGCTAAGTGTAAGAAGAAGGTTTCCTGTGTGAATACTTGTGAATTTGAAGTTTGCTTTCTGTGAATATTCTGCAGAGTAATTATTTGTATTGAAGTAGTGCCCAACTATGCCCATTCAGGATCCGGGTCCTGTTGTGCTAGGCACTGCACAAATACAAGAAGACATGGGCCCCTGCCCTTAGGAACCAGTATTTGATTAAAATTCACTTTTTAGCAAACTCTCTTCGAAATGAACACAATAGTTAAAATATTTGCAGAAAGAGATCCCAAGGGGATTACAAACACAAATATTAAAACAAATATTCACAGAAAGGGCTGGATGGGGGGAGCTACCAATAAGTCTACTGAGACCTATAGATGTTCATTTGTACTGAATTGCAACGTAAATAGAGGTCTGTTGAAAATCATTCTTTTTAGCAGTTTAATGGTTGGAAAAAGGCCTTCCTATCCAAGCTACCTATCATCTGAACTTTGATTATTTTATGGAGAGAGTAATATAAATGCTAAAATAAAGTCAGGAAGTTAAAACAAACACATACACTTCTTATGATATTTTAATTTTTTTTCTGTGTAAGATGTATGGCTATGTAAAAGCAAATAAAGTCTGTTGGAAAATGCCAAATATTTCTGGACTCCTGCATTTTTTAAATAATATATCACGTGTCTTGTTGTCTTTATAGTTTCAAGTGACCTTGGAAATACTTTTCTGACTAATCTTCTGGAAAGTTATGTTCCCATCATTTTTTTTAAAAAAAAGCAAGCCAACCAGAATCTCAGCGGTTATATATTTATGGATGGATGAAAAATTAAAGTCCTGTCAGGCCAACCGCTTCTTTGATTTCTGAGGTATTCCATGTTTCATTTCTGAGAGAAAGATATAAACCAGCCCAGCTTGATAGCAACAATGCAATGCAAAAGCCTTGCTCCTGCCTTGGTCAGTAATGATCTCTCAAAGCCACATTAGTTGGCCCATTGATCGCCTGATATCATGCCCCAGAGTGCATTTGCACTGTGAAGAGTGAAATGATGGTATTTTGGCACCAGTGCAAAGAGTTTCAAAGTGCTGTGCAAACAGTAGTTAAGCTTTGCAGTTGGGAAGTTGAGGCACACACGGGTTAAGCAGCTTGCCCAACGTCACATGGCTGATTTATGACGGTGCAAATGCAAGATGGCATGCAATTTACCATCATGTTCAGTGAATCCAAGAAGAGAAAATGAGAGGGGAGAAGAATGGATTTTGTAAGACTAAAAGACCTTTTGGTGCTGTATTGAAAAGCCCTTTTGTATGGGGTCCCCAAGACAAGCATAACACAGGATGCTATAAGCTTCCCGACCTTGTCATGCCACTGTGCACATATTTCTGAGTTGCAAGGCATTTCTATGGGGAAAGTGGATAACTTAGCTTCCATTTTTTCCTTGGCCTTTCCCCTGGTTACTAGTTATTACTAGCAAACTTTACAAAATGGACAAGCACCCACTGAGAGTGCACCTCAAACCAGCTGTTCATTTCAGACTGCCCACAGAAAGATGTCAATGCAGTTTGGTCTCTGCTGCCCTGAGCTGGATTTGAATCTGTGTTTATCCCCATGAACCATCCAGTCTCCCTAGAACGTCGCCTTTGTTGTGGTTTTAAAACCAAAAAAAGGATCAGATAAGTTAAACAGCTGGTACTGGAGTTAATGATAACGGTGTAAAGTCTGAGTAACGCACACCAAAGAACTGACACTTTGTGTGAAAGCTACCCGACCTGTTCAGCTGGTTTCTAGGGTTGAGCTGGATGAGAGCACGCCCAGAAAAATGTATATCTGCCTTTCCGGAACTGTGCCGTTTGCATAGCATAACTCTAGCTATTGGTGTGACTTCTTTTCTGGAAAGCAATGGGTGAACATTGTGCCTATTTAGCGGCATGACAGCCCCGTGACCACATTACTTTCACTGAAAGAAAAAGAAGTTGGCCTAGAAAATTCTGCATGACGTCAATTTTTTTTTCAGAGAAAATGGGCCAGAAATTATCACAGGAGTATGATGAGAAGAACAAAGCTGACATTCTCATCATAAACGAGATATTCAGCCAAGGAGTGGTCTATGCATCTCAAAAGCTGAAAGAATACCTTGGCTTTGAAGATCCTCAGAGCAAATTCCACCCAGCCATGGATACTTTAAATGAGATCTTTTTGGTTAACTTCATGAGTTTCTGTATCGAAAGAGGAATGGAGGAACGTATCACCACCAGCAAAATGACAAAGCAACAGTCTTTGCTGCTTGGGATTGACTGGATCTGGACTCTCTCTGGAGCCGACAAACAAATCAGACTTCAGATCGCCGTGCAGACTTTGCAGATGGCTGAGCTCCTCCAGAATGAAACTGGGCCCAGCAAAGAAGACTCGTTAGCAAACTGGCATTTCAAAAATAAAAGCAGGTTTGAGAAGCTGGAAGAGTTCTGCAAGCTGGTGGGGCATGGCTGTGTGGGCCTCTTTATAATGTTTGGCGTGCCAGGGAAACCTAAAGATATCAGAGGTGTCATGCTAGACAGCATCAACCCGGAGAAACGAAAAAATCACCTGTCAGGCGAGAATGCTCTAAGGCAGTTTGTCTTGAACACTGACTGCTTCCTCTCCACAAAAGAAATGCTTGAAAACTGCCTTTGTAAGAAAAACGGAATCAAGGAGGTGGGCAAAGTGTACATTAACTTCCTTTGAACTCCTGGTTAATATTAAAAAGTCTGTGTACCCAGTCCCCAATGAATATCCAGTACTAATCTTTCAAATATTTGCTTTTCTGTCCTATGCGCACACTGTTGGATATTATTACTTAGTCCAGACAGCTGATTTTTATGATGATTAAATCTCTCCAGTTTTTAAAACATATTCCGGAAAATGTGCCAGAAACTTAAATATTCTGAAGGAAAAGAATATTCTTAAAATTAACACTCTAACCCAATCCTTTGAAAGCTCCTTTGGAAGAATTGAGTTCACTACATTTACCTAGAGAGTATTGGTCATTTAAACGGGAAGTTACTATAAAGAAAATGTATTTTTTTTATTTGCAAGGAGAGAGAAGGGCAATGATTGCATGCTTTTATAATGCTGAATGTAAAACCTTAGTTGTTTCATTATTGCAGAGATCAATCCTGCTTTGGCATGTATGTAGACTGAATGGTTGTAAGAACCTTGCCTTCCCTATGTGTATCTCTTCTCCTATATAGTAAATGGTAGTCTTTAATCATTTATTATTGCCTTGCTTCAATGCCTTGAAATCCCAAATGAATTTGAAATTGTGCCTTGCAGAAAACAGAGATAATCCCAACCTTAAATCACTAACCAAATTAGGCAGACAAAGGGTGATGGTAGGATAGAAAGCCATTATTTGGTTAAAGGAAGACTAAAAACAGAAATGAAATCCTGGCTTCACTGAGTTCCATGGGAATAATTTATTATGTGGTCACAAAGCAACTAACACCTTGAAAGAGACTCTGTTTTATACATGTAGATATTTAATTTTGGGGATATTAAGTTTCTTTGCACAAACCTTTTTCATAGTTTTTCCACTTTAAGTTGCATAGTCAATTTTCTATTTTAATGTTAATTGTATTCAACAAAATAAAACATATAGTATTGAAAATAAATTCGGTGCTGAGTTTTAACGGACTTTGCAATCTTTGTGGTGATGAAAATTGAGATATTAAGACCTTGTATAACTCAGGCACATCTCTGCTACAGTTTACTCATGCTACTATAAAATCAGTATAAGAGAGCACAGAAAATCAAGCCTGGAATTCCTAGCAGATTTCTATGATGCATGAAGCCAAACGGTGAACTGAAAATATGAGGAAAAAACAGTAAGGGTACTACAATCTGTCTTTACGTGAGCAGCCAAGACCAGCAATAATCAGCTGTCCTATTAGGAGAAGCCTTGTCTATGCTAAAATAATTCTTTGAGGTGAAGGTTGTCTAACAAACAGATGAGGTCGCTAGTATAGTTTTCAAGTATTTTAAGTCTATTGGGAGTTGAGTAAGGTAAGGAAAACACAACTGGTCTCTTAAAAATGGATATATTGGGGATGACTATCCAGGTTTTTGTTTGAACGTAGTAGCACTTTCGATTCCTTTCATTATAATAATCTTTGCAAAGAACAAAGGCCTCTGAAATCCTCAGAGATCCATTAATTTGGTCTCACTTACTGCGTTAGAAACATTTTGTCAACAGAAAATGCCATTTTCCTGACATTGAAAAATCTCAGCAAAATCTAAAGTTTCTGCTGAGAAATTTCAGTTTTCTATCAGGAAAATCAAAATGAAATGTTTTGCTTTGGGTTGGATTAACTCGAACTAGAGCATTACAGTATGCCAAGCCAGGCAGGAAACTTTAATTTCAGATCAGTTTATTAATCTTTGTCCATTGTACCTCATGTGAGATATACAGGCAGTCCCCAGGTTACATGGATCCAACTTACATTGGATCCCTACTTACAAACGGGATGAGGCAACCCCACACTAGCTGCTTCCACCCAGCAGACCAGGGAAACGCAAAGCTAGCGCCCCCCGCCCTCTCCGCCAGCAGACCAGGGAGACGCGGAGCGGCTTTTCTCAGCAGACAGGGACTGAGGGAAGTGAGGTGTGGGAGAATAAAACTGAGCTCTGGAGAAATGTTTGGCTAGAGTTTCCCCTACAATATGTACCAGTTCCGACTTGCATACAAATTCAACTTAAGAACAAACCTACAGTCCCTATCTTGTACGTAACCCGGGGACAGCCTGTAGTTCACATGCCTCTAGTAGCACATGGAGAAGGTGGGAAGGTTGTGTGTTATTTTTATGAATGTAACACAATGTCTCCACTCAGTGTTACGCACTGAGCATGAAAATGTTAATTTTTTGCCTGGGCCAGAGGGTAAGCAGTGCAGTGAGCAAGTAAGCAGGGTGGGGGGGTGGGAGGGGACGACTATCAATGTATGAATGGAGTTACCATGGAATGACTATAGAATATAATGGACTGGACCACAGGGACAGAAGAGATGCATGAGAACAATCTGACACACAACAATGAACACTGATTTATTTTGTTGAACATAGTGTTTTATTTCCTATAGAAACAAGAGCAGGTTCCCAGGGCTTTGTCAGTGAGTAGACCATGTTGCCTCAGAAGCAGGGAATTCGCTCCTGTCATTGGCTTTTTGTATTTCCCTATTGTTCCCATGACCTCCCTGCCTGCCTTAGTCCAGTTTCTGATGCCTGTTCTGTCACCACCTGTCTTTCCAATTCTACCCTGCAGGTTAACATGGCCCATCCAAAGTTTCTGCCCAGCGGCTAGTGACTAGATCGTGGTTGGTGCCTCCCAGGTAGTTACCCAGCATGAGGGGCTTCATTTCCCACAAGACACCCTAAATACAGAGTTGCCTGCTGTGGGAGGGAGGGTCTGAACATGACAAAAGAAGCAGTGAGGGGTCTGTAATGAGAGCTTCTTTTACCACAGCAGAGAGAGAGAAGAGAGGGGTGATCCTACAAACAACAGGATTTGCTTTACCATTCTAAGCCAATATTCTTCAATATTTTATTCCCATTGACTAATAAAATATCTTGTTCAGGCTCAGGCTCTCAACTGGCCTGCTGGCTGTAGTGCTCCCACAAGCACTTGTTTATTGAAGCCAGGGATGCAATCTGAGTAGCACCACAGGGCTGCTGCATGCCAAAACGGCTGAGACCAGAGACACATGTAAAGGTAGGGTGCAGAGCACATGGTGGGTATCTGTCACGACACCCCAATCTCCATTGTGGTGTGTTTGGATCTTTTCATTCCACAGACTGGAATGAAATTTCAATTTTCCCTTCTGATTTGTAATATTCAGGTTTTTGGCCAACTCTTTTTACTGATTGATAGACTTACCTGCAGACTACTGTGATACTTAAAGGCTCTTGGTTAGAGAGTAGAAGCCTAAACTTCAGTTTTCCATGCAGTGTTTCTCCTGTATCTTCAAACTTGCAGATGGCTTTAACATGATGCAAAACTGTTTGTTTGTACACTGGCTGTAACTCGGACACCATTGAGTTACACATGACTGCGCTGTTGGTAAGCGCAGGTCGCGTGTGTAACTCAGGGACCATCTTTACTACCACTCCATGGGAGCTTTGGTCGTAACTCAGGGAGCAGCTGTATCAAATAGCAGTAGAAAAGTCCCTACAGTTAGCCAGTATAGGTAAAAAGTGAAAACATTTTGCAAGGTAAAATATCTTTCAGCTAGTATGTAACAGTCTAAGCGCCATTGATTTCTGTTGCACTCATTTACCCCAGAAATATGCTGGGCAGTATTTTGTAAAGCAAAGCCTTTCATAATGTGATCTCACTATTGCATCTGCTAATTGACTCTTGCCTGAGAAGCATGGGGACATTGTTAGGTATTTGGAAGAGAGGATTTAATGAAGTAAAATATCAAATGGGTTTTCTTAAGTAATTAGTCTGTACAGGATAAACTTAAAGTGCTACCAGACCATTTTAGACTAACAAACAGTCTAACCTGGCTATCCCCTGAAGCTGCTGAGTTTCTTCAAAGTCAATACAAACTTTTAAAGAAAGAAATATAATTGAGTTGTTTAATACTGCGTGTGCTCCATTAGTATTGTAATAGGAAGTGCCACAATGATTTTTTTAACTTGGTAGAGAACCTCTTATGGTTAGCCTTTGGTGGCTGAATAACAGGCAGTTCTACAAGTTAGTTAATCTAATCTACCTCTTAAACCATGCAGTGAGTCAGGGATGAGCACACACAATATAGGCTAGAGTGCAGCTTTATAGTAGACATTCTCACAAGTCTAACATAAAAGCACTTCCTTTTAACTCACACTAAATCTTTCATTGCTATTTTAGGTGTGAGTCAGAATGGTAACTGGTAAGTGCTGGTTAGGACTGGGTATGTTTGTTGCATTTTCAGTAATTTTATTTTAGAACAACAAATAGTGAAGCCTTAATGATGGGTGATTCATAGCTGGGTCCCAGGGATGAACTTGTGTGAACATGTGTTGGGTTTAAGAGACCACATAGTGATGATGAAAGTTCTGACCATGGTCCATGCTTGGGTACTGGATAGGGCAATTTTTACCTGCAGAAAGCTCCACATTTAAGGAATTGACTGGCTGCATTGAAGATACTAGGGGCCAGAACTGGGACCCTTCCTCCCAGCTAAAGCAGATTACTTTCCCCAACCAATGGAACTGTTAAGGCAGAAGAGTCTGTGTTACCTCTATGGATGCCCATGAGGACTACTACTTTGAATAGTGGCCCAGTGTTGCTGATTGGGTCAAGTCACAGCATGAACAACCAAGTAGGAGAGGTAATAAGGCATTCACAGGAAAGGGTCTTGCTGCAAAGACCGATAGTTAACTATAATGCCATCACATAGTAATGACAAGTTTGCAAATGGTGCTTCTAATTTAGTTAATTCTTCCATAAAGATCTTGAAGTCAGGGCCCCCCTGTGATGCACAATAGAACCACAGACAATTTCCATTCCTAATATGTCTTAACTTTGAATAAAGCAGTTTGGGCTCCAGCCAGATTTCTGCAGCAGCTGGCTCCCAGGGATGAAAGCTCTAAGCCCTGCTGCTGCTTGGCAGCTGGGGGAGGGAGAGGATAGGCAGTCCAGATCAGACTTCCTTTTAAAATGCAATATAGGCACAGAATAGCATTTGCTTTTCCCCCTCCCATTTCCTGGTGTCTGGTTACTTCTGCTTTCAGAGTCAGTACATAGCTATGGTGTTTGGGGGTTGGACTGTACTAAAAAGCATAACAAAATACAATCTGGTTATTATATTCTTCCCTGAATCTAAGGAAACATGAAAAAGTAAGTCTATTCCTATCCAACTGCTCACTCTTTATGGCTGTACTTTTGCAAAGTTTGCAAATAACACCCATATAAAATGATCAGCAAAATATTTTATTTCTTGCACAAACATTTTGAAAGCCAATAAGTGAATATGCATGATAAGTAATACAAAACAGCTTGTGATTAACCAGCTATAAAGTTGCTCATCAAAAGTCTTAATACAAGAAAAAAATCTTTGGGTATTTGTCCCCTAGAAAGACAAGCAACACAAATGCTTTACTTTAAACTTGCACATTACCTGCTCTGGATTTAGACTTGTAGTGGGAACACCTCAGTTGTACTCAGAGGACAATACAGTTCTACCAAAGACCAACTTTGAGACTGGAAGCAGCACACATTGACAAGCTCTCCCACAATGCAGCAAGGCTACTAAAGGAAGTTAAAAGGAACCTAAAAGTGAGTAAGAATATTATCTTTCCCCGTTAGGTGTAGAATACCAGGCTGTACCTTTGTTACTCTTTTCAGACAGTGAAAAACTACATTAGTATACAGACCATATTCTATGATTTTTCAAGCCCCCAGTTTAACATACAGAGCAAGTTTTTTACAATTTGACAGCTTCAGTCTCACGAGCTTCGCTGTTGCTGGAAAGTAGAAAATCCTGTATGGAAACATGGCAAAAGAGTAGGTACAGAATGCTTACGCTAGAATCAGCCCACCACTTTTATATTTGGCTAGACAAGCTGTCAGTTAAATTTTATTCTACACTTCCTATTTGGACAATTTTACAAATGGGGTTTTGCTTGAGCACTGTATGCAGGGGAGAGGCCTCTGCTTAGTAACATCACAAATAACCATGGACAAAAAGACTCATTTAAGTATTACTCCACATGAGTAGTTTTTGCCAATGGAATTTTTAGTTCTTCTAGAGATTTGTAATTAAAATCTCCACCTGTAGAGCCATCACAGCTGAGCATAGCACTTTAGGAGTGAAATCCTCACTGGAGCAGTTCTGAAAAGTTGTCAGATCTACAGCAGGAACACAGTTCAAAGGCCAAGCACTAGCACCTACAGCTCTTTAACAGATTCAACCTTTTATCTTCAAAACCTTGATCTCCAGCTGCTAGGGGATTAGTGCACAAAACCCCTTCCCACCAAGAATTCATTGCAGGTCCTTAGGATGGTAGGGCTAGGAAAGATTTGTTGTGAGGTCCATCCAAAACAACTGGCAATGATGTTCCTAGTATGTGTATTTATGAGATCTAGCTGTCAATCACTGGACTTCAACTAATGGCCATTTTGAACTTTTCACCTCTGCAAGGTGACTGTGGCAGATTCTTGACCTTCCTACTGTGATTAAGATTTGGCAATAGTAAGGTAAAAAGGGGCACTGCCACCATTCATACCATGTGCAATATCCAACGTACATCAAGTGCTGTGAAGTAACCACTGACCCCTGTGATTACAGTGCTAAGCACTTGAACCAACTTCTTCATTTCCCTCCCCCTACTTCCCTGAAATTACACTTCAATGCTGAAAACTGACACTGACATGTAGTCAATGGTCAGTCTCTGCAGAACATGTTAAAGGAAGCACACAGGTATCACTGCAACTTGGCTACCCAAAAAAGAGAGTCAAAATTAAAATTTGAGTCAAATGGATGCCTTGTCTTCCAAACTCATTAAGACACCTAAGCAATTAATCTAAATACAGCTTTCCTGCACTGTGCACCAGCCACCTGTGTGTACTTTGTCTTGTTCCCCATTAACTAGATGCTCTTCTTTGTCAGCTTTCTTTCCACACTACAGCACAATTAACTCTTCTTTAGTAGGAGAATGTCATGTTCTTGGTGTATCCCAGTTTTTCCAGGTTGGGAATGCAAGCATACTGGATCATTGGAGGAGGGCCACACATGAGGATCAGAACATCATCTTGAGGCGGGGGCAGGTGTTCACGGAACATGTCTTGGTTCACAAATCCCTCGCTGTACTCCCAATCTGAATAGAGAGGTAGGGGGGAAACGGTATTTTATTGACAGGTTTTATAATACTCACCCTTATTTATTTGTCCAAGAAACTTTGCAGACAAAGTTCAGCCACCTGGACTGTATTTATACAACACAAGGGTACTGAGGACAAATGTATTATCACCCTCATATTAAAGATGGGGAACTTTAATAAAGTGGAAGTTTTTGGCAGAGCTGTGAACAGAACCCATGTCTCCCCCAGCACAGTTTTAGTACCACAGGATCTTCCCCAGTTTAAGAAAACATATAGCCTGAAAGGGTTACCACATTAAACGCCTATGTCTACTCTACGGGCTTTATCAGAAAAAAGGTACACAAATTGCACTCTGCCATGTGCATACCTTTTTGGAAGAGGCTTTTCTGAAATTTGGCCCCATCTACCCTGGGCCCAATTTTAGCAATTCTGCCTTGGAGGAGGAAGACAGGGCTTCCAAAAGAGTGCAGCGGCTCTGCCGCTTTTTTGGCAGAAGAGCAGACATGTTCCCAGGCCATGGCGGAATTTTTCTGGGATCTAGACATAGCCTCAGAGTAGGATTCAGGGTTTCCCAGCTTGTTGCTGGCACTGAACACACAACTGCAACCCCAAAGAGGGAGAAGAAAGAGGCAATCTTTCCTCCCATGTCCACCACCACATTTAATCCTCAATTCTTATTTCAACAATGCACTCCCTTTCTTCAGAATATAATGGAACAACTCAGAACATGGGGTGATTTGTTCAGCTGTGCCTCCCAAGTTCATGGGTAACTCACAAAATTGCAAAAAGTCACAGATGAGAATTACACACTAGCACTCTCTTGACCAATTTCACAGCTTCAGAGGCAAAAGCTAACATCCTTCCTATAGAAGTCACCATGTCAGTTCTGAAGGCATCTAATTACTTTAACAGGGGATTAAAGTTAGAGAGGATTCTAAGGGGTAGAATGTGAGTTCTTACTCTCAGGTGCTCTGTCCAACGTGTACCAAAACTTAAAGCGATCTGGATGCTCAACCTTGACTTCCTCCAGTTCTTCACGTAACAGGATATCTTTCTCAGTCTGCAGGAAAAAGAAAAAAGTCACACAGTTTTTCAACCAGCCTCTTAGCATTAAGAAATTAGGACACTCAGAACTCCAGTGAAATAGTATCACCTCAATATTAGACACACAAAAAGTTTGAGATATCTATAAATGAACCCAATGGATAGTCTGAAACAGATCCAAAATCCCCCAGTTTCCTGAACTTTGACCACCAGATTTCCCTTTCCACTAAGGAATAAAAATGTTTAGATTATTTTTTCCTACAGCAAAACAACCTCCACCACATGATTATCAGATGCAGCATGACAAAGCTCTTAGCCTTTAGTTTCAATTCAGCTGTCAAAACCTAGGAAATTCAATAGTACTGAACAATGTTAGTTTGTCCATCTTAAAAGATGTCTCTTCATATTCTACCCAGCGATTTGGCACCAGTGACAGTAATATATTTGGGATTTCAGAGGAGGGGGAAATTTATCACCACCTGGTGCTGACAAGGCACCTATTTCTGGATCTAACATGAAACTGCATGTTACAAGAAGGCTATTTCAAGATATGACTAAATCAAAGCAGGCATCTGAACTGGACAATGGAACACATTTTCAATGACCTAGAGGCAAAGAGTATGTAGGAAGCTTAACAGTAAGTATTCAGTGTGGATGTGCAGAACACATGAGGACAGACAATACAAGACTGTCTATAGTTTTATAAATATGGTGAGGAATTTAAATGAGATTCTACCTACGATAATACAAGATATAGGTACAACCCTAACCACAGGATAACAGAGAGAAATAAGGAAACCAGCAAAATGAAGGATAGAGGAGCTAGATGTTTCCAATTCACTGGTATGTTAAAATAGGATGTATGGTTGTGCACAGACACAAATACCATGTCAGAGAACAGGGAGACAGCAGGACTTCTATATAAAGTTAGAATACCTGGAATACGATACTAGGAATACACTGACAGGGTGGAGAGTTCAGAGAAGAGCAATAAAAGTGACCGGTGTATGAAGGGTGAAATACTGAGGTGGAAGGGAAAAGTGCCCAAAGGAGCCAGTTGTGGAAGCACTTGCAGGGATGGGCAACTGCAATTAGTAGGCAAAAGGGGCTGGCCAGAGGTAACCCCCCCCCCCCCCATGACTGCCCCAGCTCCAAGCCTCCCACCACCCAGGCACCTTTTAGGGAAGGCAGGTGGGGCTGGGGGTGAAGCCTCTTCCTCTACCCCCCAATCCTTGTGGCAGCATTGCTGGATGTTCCTCTGTCAGGGAGCAAGGGGAAAGTGCAGTTTGCTGTGTTCCTCACTCTGGCTGGGGAGCACAGAGAGCAAACAAACCTGGACCTGCCCCTGCCAAGGAACACATACCCCTCCCTAGCTGAGCCCGCTGCAGTGGCCATGGAGAGGAACTTCTCACTTGGTCCCAAGCTGCAACCACGAGGAGGCAGCCTGCGTACTGAACCCTTCGTTCCCAAAGCAATTATTTAAATGAAGAAATGAGTTAAGGACCCAAGAAACACCGAGTAAGTCTTCAAGTATACAATAAGGTCAATCCCCTACTGAAAGGGGGAGGGAGAAGAGGACACTAGATACTCCATCACTAACTTCTGCTATTCTCCTTTCTACATTATCAGCTCTGATAGTAGACACAAAGTAGTGAGAATAGACTGTAGCATCATACACTGTCAACCCACGTATTTGCTTTTGAGTTAGTGAAACTTGACATGATGTACCTAGATATTTATGCCTAGATTTTCAGAAATGCTCAGCACCTATCAACTTCTACTGAAAACAATGGGAGCTGAGCTCTTTAAAAAAAAAATCTGACTACTTTATTTATGTGTCTATATGAGCTCCTGGAATCTCACCCTTCATATATTTTAGTAGGTGTGGCAGAATGTTATCTGTGACAGAGCAGCTGGCTTGGCTTTAAGCGACAAGCTGTTCACAACCGGTGGTGGTGGGGAGGGGGGAATTGCTACCATTAGGAGATATTTGATTACTAGAACCAAATGGAACTAAGACCTCCTGTTAAATTACCCCTCAGATGGTGGACAGAGGTTTGCATCCAAATTAAGCTACCATGTGTCTATTTCTCCTCTTTCATATGCCTAATGATTAGCACCTCTAGATCATGAAAATCATAAGTTTAAAACTGAAGATTACATTTCCCAGGTTTACTACAACCATACTGATTCACTGTTCTCAACCCTTCATTGAAGTTTCGTAAAGAAAGAAACAGCATATAGTGGGATAACACAATGCAGAAATTTAAAAGCAGGGCCTGAGTGGAATATGGCCCCAGCAGATCAAAAAATATTTCTGTAGCATTATTTCTAATTGCACAGCACACTCTCTCCCATTCTGCAGTTATCAGCTGTTGGGGACAATTACATTTAGGTCACATACTGCAACTGTGTTCAGAAATAGTCAGATTCATATTTCCTCTCACAAATTTGGTTCCATGCCCTGGATATGGGTGGGTGGGTTGCATATGCATCTTGAAGGAGGGCAGATAATGCCACCACTCAATAAAGCAGCTTTAAAATTCCAAAAAGGTTCCCACAAAGGTGGGGGGAAAGGGGAGGAGAGAAGAGAGCACTAAGCACTTCTAGGAACCATACAGAAGAAAGAATCCCCCCGTCTCTGTTTTCTTATCCAGGCTTTGAGAGGACAAAGGGAAAAACAGCATGGGTATATGGCAGGGCAAGAGTTAAAGAGGCAGTAATGTAGAGAACTGTTTGCTCATTGCAATGGTATCATATATGGCTGCTTTTATAGGTTTTGTTCATTTTAGCCTAAAGTTTTACCATACTGCGGCATACCTGTGTTTAGTGCTGTCTCAGAAGAGGCTTCCACACAACTGGTTTTTGTGTTAAAAACAAATAATTTTAATACCTTGATGCAAAAGAAGAAGTTACCTGATTAGCAAACAACAGCTGGCAAGTGGTGGGATCATCTTTGTCCTTCATGATGGCACGAATAAGCTGCAACATAGGTGTTATGCCTGGAAAAAAAAATGCAATTAATAATAGGCCACCAGCAATCTAATAGTCTTGCAGAAACAAGGCACGTAAAGAACAAAACTTTATTCTTACATACCAGTTCCACCTGCAATCATGCCAACATATTTCACTGTTTTAAGAACAGGTTCGGCTTTCTTCTCAGCACGAATGGCAAACTTGCCTGGGGGGGGGAAAAAAAGGAGAAGACAGGGACAGTAAACCCGCACCATCTGGAAGTTAAGCATCCAGAAAAGTGTAGGAACAGGCAAATTTCTGATGCCAGGGAAAGCAAAACAAAAAACCAAAAAGGAAACTGGCCCTTTAAGTGCCAGGACGCTCCTCAGACAAGTGTGCAGCACATACCCCCAGAAGCAAGCATCTCTGCTCCCCATGGCTCCGTACCATGGCTCCCCCCCCACCTCCCCTGCAGGCCGCCACTGCCATCTTCGCCTCCTGCCCCTCACCCACCTTCACCATGCCGCATCCCGCCCTCCCCCCCCATGGCTCATGGCCCCCACCAGCAGGCCACATCACAGACCCTGTATGGCTCCTGTGTCCCCCCGGCCCCATAGGCCTTGCACAGTTCTTCCCCTTCTCCCTCAGATAACCAGAATTTAAGTTACCAGCATGCCCTAATCCCTGGGCATGCTAGATAACACAGGTTTTACTGTACTAGGAAGTAGTAGCAAACATTAAATTAAACAGAGGACTGGGATCGCACATCTTGAGTTCTCATTCTGATTCACAGTGACCGTATCAGGCCCTAGGAAGTCACTTCTCCTCTCAGTTTTCCCATCTGTAAAATGGGGATATGTCCCCTTCTCTCATAAGGCTACAGTGAGGAGAGAGGTGTCTGAAAAATGTTAACTATTTTTACACCCGGGGTGTAGCGTACCTGGGGTGGCACTGTGCATGCACCGCACACCCCAGACTCCGTGCATGCGTTGCGAACCTGGAGTGGCACTGCGCGTGCGTCACGCACTCGGGAGTGGGGCCCCATTCCAGGGAATCGGCCGAATTGGCCTTAAGCCGGCCCTGGTCGCGACCAGGATTTAAAAGAGCCCATGCATCGGTCTCTATGGGCTTCTCTTCAATGTCCTTTTTCTAAAGCAGAAGTTAATCGATTCCCAAATAATCTGAAATACTTTCTTAAATTTGACAGGCTACAAAAATTTATACTTTACCCTAAGAATCAGCCCCTGCTTGGGATAAAAGCCCCTTTCTTAACCCTAACATTATGTGTTCTTGCCTCATTCAGGGAGCCCAGGCCAAGGTAACCAAGTTTAACAATTAACTCTCATGTAGATGGGCTCTTAACACAGCTACTGGTGCTTCTCCTAGGAACGAATCAGGACTCATCTACACGCTCTTTCTGTATCAGTAGATCTATGCCAGTAAGATGTGCTACTTTTTTTTGCCAATATCGTGCAATTCCTACTGTGGGGGCCACTACAGTTTATTAAAGTTGCATTATGCTGGTGTGGCTCATACCAGACTTACACATGAAACTTTTGCCAGTATTGCAATGCTGGTTAGAGGTGTGATTTTTTGGGGCAACATTTCTATGTCAGCAAAAGCCAAAGTGGCATATAGGTACTTTCACTGCTGTAGCTTATTTTACTCAGGGAACATATATATTGTTCTACCAGCATAAACACTGAGGGTTAGGTTTGCCAGGTGCACAGCACTGAACTGGACAACCCGTATTTGCGCCTTCTGTCCGGTAGACATGTAAAATGTCCGGTATTTTCTGTTTTTCCTAGCTTGGGCGTCCGACAGAAGGGCAATTGGGACATGCAGTGCAGCTTGGGCTAGCTGGGGAAGGATGGAGCAGGCCAGGAATTAACTGGGCCACGACTGTTTCGGCCCCGGTCAGTCCCTTAGCTGGGTTGTTTTTTTTTTTTTTGCTCAAAAAAATTTTTTCCTGGGGTTTGGTGAGGGGAGAGAGAGAGAGAGATTTTCTGTTAAACCATCTGGCAACCCTCCTGGGGGTATAGATAGGATTTTACATCCCTAGCCTAACTGACTAACCAGTTAAGCCTTCACATCTTTCATATGGGCTGCATCTGTACTACCAGACAACCAGCCTATATATTCACTTTACATTGTAAATAAGGCTTTATTCCCCTTCCTCCGTAAGTACATTAACAGCATTATAGCTGCATCCACACTAGAGCGGTTGTACCTCTAAGTATCCCAATGCAATTAAAATGGCACAACTTGTGTACAGGCAAGGCCACAACCTCCATGAGAAAAAATTATAACTGCGCCCACATTTCCGTGTATCACTATTTTATAAGATCTCTTGTGCTTTTTATTCTGGACACAATATTTCTAAAAGAGTCAGTGTTACCTTTTCCCTTATAGACAAGTAATCCACTGGGTCCTCTGAAATCAATGGTTTCCCCAAGTTTCAGGTTGTCTAAATATTGAGACATCTTCCCTCCATTGGGGAACTTTGGATGGACCCCTTTGAAATAAATCTGTTTAAAATTAAGATTTAAGAACCTTTTTATTAAAACAATTCAAGTTACTGATTTACAAAAAAACAAGTTAAAACCAGACAGATCTCTGCCCTTAACTTTCTGGCAATACACAAATTTGTATGCCCAAACTCCATAAGCAAAGAGGCTTGGCAGTCAGAAGCTAAAACAGTCATCCGAGAATCCAACACAGACAGCTAAATAGGTGAAAACTGTCCTACGGCAGTTTTGTTAAGCAGGGATGGCCTCAAGACTGGTTAACCTTGGGCCCCAATTCTGAGATACCAAGTGCCTACATCTTCCAAGTGAAGGCAGTGAGTGTAGCAGGTGCCAAGTACTTCAAGATCAGACTCTTATCTGTAGAGCTACAGGCTCCTGTGACCTGGGAAGGGGTTTAAGCTAAGCCTCTTCACACCCCCAAAAGCAATCTACTCTTATACCAGAAATAAAAGGGTCACAATGGGATAATTGATAGAACATTCCCATGTAGACAAGACCTACATTTAACATTCCCCTTTGCCACTTATTCAATATTAGAAGGGAAGCTTGTGAAAGGCAAAAGGGAAACACACAAGACAAACTGGGAGAGAAATCAGAAAGTTTATAGCACAAAGTGAGTTATACCTAGCAAGGGGCATAAAATAATACAAGGGATATAAAATATATTAGTAGTAATAGGAAGACAAAAGAAAATGCAGGTCCACTACTGAATGGGGGAGACCTGAGGAAAGCTGAAGTGTTTAATGCCTATATTGCTTCAGTCTTCCATGAAAAGGTTAAAGTTGACCTATTCTCAACACAATATTAACAACAAAGGGAAGGAATGGGAAAAAATGGAAACAAACCAGGTTAAAGAATCTACTATATATTTTAAAGAGTTTGTGTGTGTGTCTGCGTGTCCGTTCATGAGTCCATTTGTTCAAGAACTCCTAAACAGTAAGAATAGGACTACTACATTTGGTATGCAGCATCCTCTTATAACTTAAAGCAAAGTCAGTATTTGATTGTGCCAGGACACTAGGATGTGTATGGAATGGGACTATCCTTCCTATCACACCCCTGCCTTCCCATTTGATGCAAAACAGTTATACTCACAAATGACCACAGCGGGGCAGAGAGCGAGCAAGCAGCATCCAACCATCCTGCCCCCACCCTGTCTGGACCTAGGCAATACTGGCTAAATCTTCTAGTATTTAGATAAGATAGATGTATTCAAGTTGGCAGGACCTGATGAAATTCATTCTAAGGTACTTGAGGAACTAACAGATACAATCGCTGAGAACTCGCTGAGGAGAGGGTTTAAAAAACTCCAATCTTTAAAAAAGGGGAACAAAGGAATTATAGACTTATTCAGACTAACTTCAATACCGGTCAAAATACTGGAAGAAAATTAGTGATCAAAATAAATTTGTAAACACCTAAATGATAACAGTGTTGAGAGCCAACATGGTTTGTCAACAACAAATCATGCTCTGTGAATCCTTCTTTGAGCAAGGCTACTGGCCAAGTGGATAGGAGAGAAACTGCAGCTCTTGATTTTAATCAAGGCTTTTGACAGTCCCAGGTGACATTCTCATTAGCAACCTAGGGAAATATCATCTAGATGAAATGAATACGGTGGGTGCATACATTACTGAAAGTTCATAGTAGTTTTCGATGTTTTGCTATCAGTGGGAGGGAGTATTTAATGGGGTCCCACAAGTGTCAGTGCTGGATCTGATACTACTCAATATCTTCACTAAGTATTTGGATTATGGAGGGATGAGAACGCTTATAAATTCTGCAAACGATACCAAGCTGGGAAGGCCTCAGCTGGAATACTGCATCCAATTCTGGGTACCACACTTTGGCAAAGATGTGGACAAACTGACAAGAGTCCAGAGGATTCCAGAACAACAAAAACGGTGATCTTGAGAAAAGAGTGAGGAGGGACTTGATAACAGTCTCTAAATACATTACAAACTGCTATAAAGAGGATTAGTGATCAATTGTTCTCTATGTCCAGTGAAGGTAGGACAGTAAGTAACAGGCTTAATATGCAGCAAGGGAGATGTAGGTGAATGTTCACATCAGGTGTGTGTGAGACAATTTTATAACCATAAGGGTAGTTAAGTTAAAGGACAGGGTTTTAGAAGAGGCTATAGAATCCCCAACACAGGAGGTTTAAAAAAGGTTGAACAAATATCCATAAAGGATGATAGAATATAGATCAGTGGTTCTGAAGCCGGAGTGCACACACACTTGGAGGTGCAAAAAAGTCTTCCAGGAGTACATCAGCTCCTCTAGATATTTTCCTATTTTTACAAAAGGCTACTTAAAATGCACTCAAAGACTTACAAACTAGTTTCAGACAATGACTTGCTTATACTGCTCTATATACACTGTGCACTTCAGAAATCTGCACTCTACACATACAGATCTCTTTAAATTCCTGCCTCTCACTTAGAGAACTCTGTATGCTGAGGTATCACTGCATGGAAGCCAATAGTAGCGTTAAGCACAAAAGTATTTTTATAAAACCATGTTTTTACTGTACTCTTTAACTGCTTGTAAATAGCAAGTACCACATGGCACAATAATAGACTTACCTTAACAACGAGATCCACATAGCCTTTGTCATCATCACTGGAGACTGGTGTATAGGGTCTGATAACTAGATTCCCGTCAATCCGTGCTGAAAGATAAATATGCTGTCCTACAAACAGAAGAGGGGAGGAAGAGCAGGTTTATTTTGGAAGGGTTAATTTGAGCAAATTCTCTTTCACTACAGCTGACAATGACTTGGTGAAAAATCCAGATTTGGTACTAAGGCTACTTTTGGCCCAAAAAGCAACATTTTTCCTCCTTTCTTTCCTGTATATCCATATTACCTCTCTAGATTGTGTCATCCAGTTCACCCGAAATCCAGCTAAGTGGGTAGAGGGTTCAGTTCCCTCAGCCTGAGAGCAGTTCTCCAACCAGGAGCTCAATCACATGTGTTATTTATTTTAGCAGCCATTAAGCTTAGATGTTTGAGGAGATAATAGATATTAAACACATACCAGGGATGTTACATTTAGATTAACTATTTGATTAGTCTATGCGCTCCTGCGGTGCCTCAGCCTTTGAAACGTACAAGAGCCCCAGCAGCACTCTAGTACATTTCAAAAGCAGAATCGCAGCACAAGTGGAGACTGCTTCAGTCCCCACTCACGCCATTTCCTGCTGTGCCCTACCTTCCCTGCCCCTCATGGAGATGGTGCTGGGGGGGGGGGGGGGGGGGAGGGGGGTTTGGTGATTTCACCTGCAGCATGACTCCCACCCCCTGGTTAGAGCCCCCGGCTGGAGGAGGGGGGAGAAGGGGAGAGAGACTAATCACATCACTAGTCGACTCTTTGATAAGCTTATGCTTATCGGAGAGTCAACTAGTCACATCCCTAACAGAGATGTGTAAGAGGTAGGGCTGTCAAGCCATTAAAAAATTTAATCGCATGCGCCTCCCCTTTTGAAATGCTATGGTAGCATTTCAAGGAGGCAGCGCTGCATGGAGCCTGGGGTCAGCTGGAGTCCCCGGCTGACCCCAGGCTCTATGCACCACTGCCCCTTGGAAGCGCCGTGGCAGCGTTTCCAAGGAGCAGCGGCACTTCAAAGGGGCTTTGCAATGTGGAGCCAGGGATCAGCTGGGTCCTCCAGCTGATCTCCGGCTCCACTTGTGCTGCCCCTTTGAAGCGCTGGAGCGGCACTTCAAAGGGGCAGCCCAGCATTAACGCTTTAAAAAAAATTGTCTTGCGCTAATCGCAGGCATTAACGCAGGTCAATTGACAGCCCTAGTAAGAGGATGTTCAAGGATGACTCACATTTGAGTGCTATTACCACTTCATTAACACGTGTGTCAGTTACACATAGCATAGATGACTGACATCCAAAAGGCATATTATAAAGATGCCCTCAGGACTCCATATTTAAGGCTGCATTTTAATATGCATTTAGAGCAGGTGGTTTTATTTCATTTTATTTTGCAACTGGAATGAATCAGACAGATATTACAGGGGAAGATATACGTCAGTAGCGTTTAAAAAATTCTAAAACTGTTCTTGCAGCCCATAGAATCTGTACTGCTTCACAGGTTTAATTAAGAGCTTTCTTTCCTTATGATAAAAAAACAGGCTGACAAAAAAAACATACCGATAGGGAGACCTAAAACATGTTCTCGAGTTGGCAGGGCAAAGCGAAATCTTCTCGTGTCGTGACTAATGTCCTGAAACAGGAAAACAAAACAAAACCATCATGTACACTGTTAGAAATACTTGGTATTCTGTTGGGCGGTTTTTTTGTTTTATTTTTAATAGACATGTCAGGCTATTTCTAAAAGTTAGTTTCACCCTAATCGGCAGATATGTAACTAAAACCGTTTCAGCACTGTGCCCCCACAAAGGTGAAAATAAGCAGATGCACTCTGACATGCCATTCTCGCAAAAAGGAGATTTCTGGCTGGGGCACTCGGCTGCAGTGGGAGGGATGGCACCCTCTCAGCTGGGCTCTCTCCGGGCTGCCCAACCAAGCAGCAGGCAGGTTAAAGGGGCTGGCTAGGGGCATTATCCCCACTGCTCTGGGGTCGTCCCAGCCCTGAGCCTCCCCCCAGGGCTCCATTTAGGGAGGGCAGGGGGTACTGAAGCTCCCCTCAGAGATACATAGAGGGACACTGCTTGATGTTTCCCTTCCCCTCTGGGAGCGAAAGGAAAGCTCGCAGCATGTACATGCCTCTCTCCCCAGGCTGGGGAGGAGGTAGAAAAGTGAATGACCCACAGTGTGAGCTTCCCTCTCATTCCCTGAGTGTGACAAAAGAGGACAGTAGGCAGCCTCAAGGTATGAATTTGGAGCATCTCCCTGCCCTCCCTAAATAGTGCCCATGCCCCCCAGCACTCCGCCCATCCACCAGCCTCCTGTCCTGAGCCCCTCCTCACACCCCCAACCCTGCATCCATCCCCCTAACCTGAACCCTCACACTTGCAGTCTTCTGCCCTAACTCCTGCACCCCCCCCCACACACACACCTCATCTGTGCCTACGCCCTCCCGCACCCCACTTTTCTGAGCCCTATACTCCACCCCCTACTTAAATTTCTTATAAGTACTGTCATATCACAACACCCCAAGCCTTGGACTTCATTACCAATTTCAAAAGCATTTATCCCAAAATAAATTGTTTCTCATATGGCTTAAAAGTGGTACTGGACCAAAGTGACATCAGTTTGGATACAATATTAAGTGATCTGTATTTGGATGGAGCAAATAAGCACCGGTGTTTATATTCTTTCATTTTCCCCTTTTCACTCCACTTTGTTTCATTGCAGCATATGTTAGGGTCTGAACTCCAATGTTACTGATTACTTTACAGCCTTTAAACAATAAATACTTAGTACTTCTACAGAGTTTTCATATGTAACTCTTTACACAGATGGATAGGCATTTATCCCATTTTACAGCAGAGGAACCTGAAGAACAGAGCTGTTAAATGGTTGCCATGGGACACCCAGCAAAACAGTAACAGAAGAGAGAGACTCCCAGGTCTCCCAGTCTAATGCCTCATCCACTGTACCATACTGCCTCTTATAAGAGGGTCCTATAAAATTTAATAGAACATTATATCCCTAATATACAATGGCTAAATATCCACAGAAGCAGCATCTATTAAGTTAGATATAATTTTAGAATAGTTGCTACAAATAGGTTTAATTTCTATTATAGGACACCTCCCCCCCCCGGATTCAATTCAAATCAATTGGACTACTGCTGTTACTCAGGATTTTAGGATCAGACTCGTTGGCTATGTCTACACTAAAGACCTTACAGCAGGACAGCAATTCTGTTGGAGCTGCACTGTCATAAGGTCCCTCATGTAGCTGCTCTTCGCCAACAGGAGAGAATTCTCCCCTGGGCATAGTTAAACCACCTCCAAGCAGCAGCAGCAGCTCTGTCTGTGGGAGAGCAACTTCTGCCAACAACTGTTAGCACTTTTGTTGGAGAAATGTAGGTCGTTCAGGAGTGTGTGTTTTCACACCAGCAGTTCTGTCAGAGGTGTAAGACAGACTTAGGGCTTGTGTAACACCTACGTCATGGCAAACTGGGGTGCTACCTTGCACTAGTCTGACATACATTAGGTGTCCATGTGGACCCTGCTGCTGCACACTATCAGTTGTAGAATATTCTACTGAATGAAGTCATGTCTACACTATGAACACCATAGTGGCAGAGATATGGCGCCACAGCTATGCTATTGTAGAAGACACTTCCTACAGCAATGAAATGCATTGATAGGCTGCCAAAAGTGTTCTGTCAACCTAGCTGAATTCACACAATGTCACAAGTATATAAGAACAGGACAAGTCCCAAGTCAGTGACATAACCTAATGACAGCAAAAGTTACTGATAGGACTTTCCTACTTGAGCAACAGCTAGCAGTTCCACTTAGTATGGTATGTATGGTTTATTGAAACTGGTGTTAGAGGTGCAACATTAAGATTGGTTGTTCAATACGGCTGTGTCTACATTGGCATCCCTTTCTGGAAAAGGGATGCTAATGAGACACTTCGGAATTGCAAATCCGCGGGGGATTTAAATATCCCCCGCGGCATTTGCATTTACATGGCTGCCACTTTTTTCCGGCTTGGGGTTTTTGCCGGAGAAAAGCGCCAGTGTAGACGCGATTCTCCGGAAAATAAGCCCTTTTCCGGAGGATCCCTTATTCCTAATTTCAAGGGCAAGAAATGACCTCCTCTAATCCAGCAAAATCCCTTATCTGGGACTGTCAGGTCCTGAGGGTGCCAGACCAGGGAGGTCCAACCTGTATTTGGTAGTGTGAAAAGGCCCCCACTCTCAAATGAGAATGGAAAATAAGCACAAGCAATGATGTCTGTGGGCAGCTTGAAAACCTGTCTGAGACAGTAGCATTAACTGATATTCACTTCAAGGGTAGTCTTCACTTTCAACAGTGAAACTTAATAACAATTCAAGTTGTAACATTGTCAGCGTTTTCACTAACTGATCTAAGCATGCTATAGAAGAGGAATTCTTATATTAACAGCTGCACACTAGTGCAAGGAGCAATGCAGTTTGGCATGAAGCGGCCAGAATCTGAGTTGTGGACTGAGCTTCGGAGAGTAGTACCTCTCCCCTTACCCAGATCACCCTTTGGTAAGAAAGGGGAAGGACGACCACTGAAAACTCTTAGAGGAGTCCACCTAAGAAAACAATCCTCTCCTAACAGGAGAGATTTGAAAACAAATTTTATTAGTTGCAGGATAAGGGTAAGCTTATACATCCAAAACTGCAGCAACATCACAGCTGCACCTGTACAGCTGAGCTGATGACACTGTTCAGTGAAGACGCTACTACACTGATGGGAAAGTTTCTCCAGTAGAGGCAATGGCAGCTCTCCCATCAACACAGTGACATCTGCACCAGGGGTTAGATTGGCATAACTGCATCTCTCACGGCTGTGGATTTTTCACAGCCCTGTGTAACTTCATAACTCAGATATATATGGGTAGTGTGGCCTAAGCTCCATATTCAAACCAAAAGCCAATTGTGCATCACGCTTCTGTATCTCAAAGAGGGATGTTAACATCTGGAAAATTCAGCAGTTACATGTTCACATGCAGGAAGCGACTCCCATGGGAGTAGCATCCCCCGCTCCTCCCTCTACACTGCTGCTTCTGTCTTTTAAGCTAATGACATCTCTAGGCCTGGAAAAGCTGGTGGTGGCTGCCCATCAGCTCCAGGAGCAGGGGGCTCAGGGTAGGTGTTGGAGGGGAGGGGGGAAAAAGGGAGCCAGTACCTGCAGGGAGCTGGCTTAAAATGTTCATTGTATCAAGACACATTTTTTCATTTCATTTTTTTCAGCTACAGCTGTTTATCTGAGACATCTTTTTTGAACTCCCATCTACAAAGATACAAGTACTGTAATGCAGATTGTGAGCTTATCATAAAATGGGTGTCTTCTCAATCCATGGAAAATCTGGATTAAAATAAAAGAGTTTACACAGAAAAGAGTCTAATTTTGCAGATTTTAGAAATTTTAGGGTGGCACGTTCCATAGAATAATCTGGGAGAAACATTCTTTCCCATTTGCCATGCACAAAAACAAAACACCACTAATAAAATGGTATGAGCTTATAGTCTGTGTGTAAAATAAATTAGATGCTCTCTCACTCACCTTGCATTGTAAATATCATCTAAACCAGTGGCCCCCAATGCAGTGCCCGGGGGCACCATGGCGCCCACCAGGCCATTTCTGCGTGCCCACCGAGTGATCGGGGCCAGCCCCGCCCCCGGGCATGTGGTGTATGGACGGTGCCAGCCCCTGGACGCGCAGCACATGGGCGGCCCAGCCCCCGGGCACGCAGTACATGGGCTGTGCTGGCCCTGGGCGCGCGGCTTATTGGTGTCCCCGCCCATGGGCACGCAGCACAGGAGCAGCCCCGGCCCCAGGTGCACAGCGCGTGGGTGATGCCGGCTCCTGGGCATGTGGCACAGGAGCAGCGCTGGCCCCGGGATTGCAGCACATGGGTGGCACAGGAACTGGGCACGCAGCGTATGGGTGGCCCCGCCCCCGGGCACATGCACAGCCCCGCCCCCGGGAGCCCAGTGTGTGAGTGGCCCCGCACCCAGGCACCCAGCACCCCAAAAGGTTGGGGACCACTGAGCTAAACTAAGTAAACAAGCATGTATAAATAAGTTCTCTGCTTTGTTTACATATAAAATGTTGATATGGCTTAACCAGAAACAGAACTCGGCACCCTCAGAACTTTTACATCTCCAAACAGAGCACAATATGCTGCAAGGTTGCTCCCAGTTTAGAATAATATGGGCATAAGAGAGCTATACAGAAGTGCTGTCAGTATGCTCAGTGCTATTCAAGTGTGTATTTACTTACCTCTTTGTCAATCAGCCTTAATGGGTATTTCACTTCAGGGTCCTCCAGGGTAATTGCAGGACGAGGTTTCCTAAAGAAACTCATGATGAAGCTGTAGACTATCCATACTGGGTAGATCACAATCCCACCAAGCTGCAATAATGCAGAAAGACAAGAAAATTAGCATTGCTATTTATTTCAGTGAAGTGATACCATAACATCATGTCAGAGACAGATCCTCAGTTTGTGTGTTTCCGTTATGAGCATACGGAAAATAATTCCATTCAAAAATATCTCAATGCAGAAAGCGTAAACTCTGGTCAGGTTTACCCACATTTAATTTGCCTTTTTAGACTCTTAGCACTCAGACATCACAGCACTGAGCAGATTATGGAGGACAGATTTGTTCTGCCTCATATGTCCAGTTAATCATCCAGAATAAGCCTTTCCCCTTTACAGAGGGTTGTTTTCATATGTCCAGTTAATCATTCAGAATAAGCCTTTCCCCTTTACAGAGGGTCCATACAAAGGTGGCACAGGAGTCCTCTGTGCAGGAATAATTTTAAACATAGGGCCATTTTAGATCATTCTCCGCAGTCTACTTCCACACAGCAGAGGGGATAACTGGAGCTCTTCTTGCAGAATTTTCTACACACTTTCTTCCTCTGGAGAAAGATTTAGAAGGGGCAATCTTTTTTTTTTTTTTTTTTTTTTTTTTTTTAAAATGTTACATACAACATGGGGGAATTTAAAACATAACAGGACATTTTTCACTTTCACCAGCTTATAAAGTAATTTGATTGACTGTTTCAAGTTATAAGTCACATTTATAGCACTATGATGTAAGGTTGTTAAGAGGTGGGTAACTTAGTAATTGTGTAGTCGATACAAATTGTATTGACTACATGATTAGTCGATAAGCGAAGACGCTACCCCTGCTGTGGCTCTGCAGTTTAAATGTACTAAGAACTGGGTGCGCAGGCAGCTCAGCTCCTACTACATTTAAACTGCAGAGCCGCAGCGGGAATAGCTCCTGGACCAGGTGCAAACCAGGACTGTGCTGGGATCCTCCATGAACAGAGACTGCTGCTGAAGCAGCCTTTGTTCACGGCTGCTGGAACTGGTCACTGAGAGAGGCTGCTCCAGCAGCGATGCCAGTGGGGAGTTGGTGGGACCGCCCATGTACAGGGACTGTTTCGCCACAGCAGCTCCCTACTAGAACCCCATACGGATAGGGGCTGATGCTGGAGCAGCCTCCCCTGCCCCCTTCCCCACGCTGCCTCAGAGATAGCAGCCCGGGGAGGGGAGAGGGGCAAGCAGCACAAAGGAGAGATGCTGGGAGGGGACTGGCTTTTAAGCCAGCTCCCCCCCGCCCAACACTGACTCATGCTTCCCCTTCTTGGTGCCTCTGATATAGACACAGCAAGGGGAATGCGAGTACTTGACTTGACTATCAGACAAGCCTAGGCTTATTGTATAGTTGACTGACTGACTACTCTTTTACATCCCTACTATGCAGTTCAACAGCTACCTGTGTCAGGAGGCTAAAGAATCTGCCATAAATGGTTGCTTATATTAGATCATTTTATGTGCAATAGACGTATCTGCTCATAAAAACTGAAATGAAGTCAGAACAGCTTAAACCCTCCCTTCCCAAAACTCTGCGATACTGAATTAACACACTAAAGTCTCATGTAGGGGCTTTTGTAGTTTATCCATTATCATAAGAACTTGGAATCGGGCTGTCCCACTAATTTCTGTCTAACAGCTAATATTGATGTTATACATGCATACCAGTTTCTAATGGATCTGAAGCTAACAAGACTACACTTCCATATTTCTATGGCACTCGTAGATGTCAAGTTGAAGGGTTTGCCTACGCTTACAGTTCTGTGCCACGTTAGCACTAAGTGAAGATGCTACCTATGCCAATGGGAGCGCATCTCAAGTTGTGCAGATACTTCACTTCCCTGAGAGGTGGTAGCTATGTTGATAGGAGAAGACTCCCTTTGACATAACACTGTCTATACCAGGAGTTCCATCAATACTACTGTGTAGTTATGAGCAATAGATTTTTCCACAACCTGAGCACCATAGTTATTCTGTTGTAAGTTTACAGTGTAGATCAGGGCAAAGAAGAGTGGGCAAAGAAGAGTGTTCATTAATTGCTGACATGGCAACAGCAAAAAGCTATGTAAAATGTTCTTTTATTTTTCATTTCTTGGTGACAGATAGGCAAAGAATAGAAACTCCAGATTACAGAAAATCTGAGGCACACCAAATTTTAGGCCTGATATTCTGTAATTCCATTGAAAGATGCAGTTATTAATTAGCAAAGGAGCAGCTACATCTAATTCAATGAGCCCAGGACTGCAAATCAAGGGCAAAGGTCTATTCATAGCTCTATCATGGACATGCTGAATGACTATCAGGCCGAGCCCAGGATTGCGAATCAGGGGCAAAGGTCTATTCATAGCTCTGTCATGGACATGCTGAATGACTATCAGGCAAGTTAACTTCATCTCTCTAATCAGTTTCTCCATCTGTAAAATGGAGCTAAATCCACACCAACTTTGCGAACTTTCAGTTCACATGTGGCAAGTACTGTAAGTGCAAAATATTACTGTTACTTATTACATTTTATATCAACATTTAAATCTTCTTCTGAAGCACATGACAGCCATCTCTGATGGAGGAAGGGCACTGCACTACAGATCTGTCACACTATGGTAATTTCTACCAATAGGTTTTTTCCACACAACCAATACATTCTTTGCCTGTGGAGAATGGAAGGCACTTTTTGGTCAGTTAATTCAAGGGCCTCATGAGATTAGCTTCAAAGGAAATGTACAGTTAGGGTAGCTCAGATACATTCTCATCTAGTAATTTAGATTCCTTGTCAGCTGATGGGAAAAAACACAGGCTGGTTGCTTTCCAAAATAATGAATCATTCTTGCTAAGAAAACAGGCCTGGAAAATACTAGTAGGACAAACCATGTTCTGTAGACTCCTAATATAGGGCATCAATCAAGACATAAATCAAAAGAGCTCCACTGAAGTCAAAGGAGGCTATTCCAATTTACAGCAGTGGAGTGCCAGAGAAGGGACATTGCTCTGTCAAGTCCTGCTCTCTAATAAGGTACATCATTACCTTGCTAATAAAGATAAAATTACTTCTAAACAGGAGGTTTTATTACCTCAGTTAAACAACTCATTGGGGTAACAAGCATAAATATTTTAAGAAAAAGGTTCTGCTTTTAACAATGACATTTTATTACAGCACCAGGATCTTCAGCTTCTGCACTGAGGCATGATCAGCTGCATGTAATGAAATACATTCAGAATTATAGCTTTCAGACAGCTCAGTTACAGCCAGGTGTTACTGAGCTGCTAGGTTTATCAGGAGACAGGGCAACAACTGAGAACAGGGTATCTGTCAAGCATACTTGGTCATGGAATTGTAATTAAATAATTAAAAAAAAAAAACTTTCCTAGGAGAATGTCTTGCACCATCCAGAATGGTCAACTGCCAGCCTACACCCACCTTTAAGAAAGTAAAATTAGCACAGAGGGGTTGTTTGTGGTTTTGGAGGAAAGGGGTACACTTTGCCTTTATTATTTACTCATCTTCCTTCCCTGCCTTTGTGGTCTAGAAGCAACAGTATCTAAAATTTGATAGTGTATAGCTACCTCCATCTATTCCTGCAGGTCACCCACAATTAACCATAGTTAGAAATATTTAAGCAGGTGCACGGGAGGAAGGTGGTGGAAGTGAGAGGATAGACAACTGCTGGAAAAGGGTAATGGGTAATGATGCATGTTAATGACAGTTAACACTTTTCTCCCACACAGTTTCATCTCTTAACAAGCCACATGACTGCAAAGATCTCAGCCACAGCTGATAATTACAATGGTATCTTTTTTTAAAATCAGACCATGGCAAGGAAAAACATGCAACTGCAACTTACAACGTATGTGAAATCTGAAAGTGAAAAAAACACTAGTCCAGCAGAAAGGCAGTCAGCCAAGCAGCCTAAGCCTCTGTCAATGCCCTTTAAGCAGATTTCTTCACACACCTTCAATTTGTCCAGTTACAGGCAAAGAAAGCAAGCTGTGCTGCTTAACCTGTGAAGTCACTAACATTCCAAACAGAATGTCTCTATTGTTGTGTCATACACACCTTCCACATTCTGTTTATTGCATCATAGGAGCACTGAGACAGTCAGCCCTAAGCAAACAGCAAGGAGGCTCATTTAATGCCCGTGTTTATACACAAACGCTCAACGCGTTGGAGAGAAGAACTGGGCGGAGGCAGGCTGAGGTGCCATCCAGAACGCTGGAATCTGAAATGTTTTCCCACTGACTGCAAACGCGGTGAGTCACAAACTCCACCGCTACACAAGCCTCGGAGCAGCTGCTGAGGCCTCGAAGAGAAGAAGCTCGGCGTGTTTTCCCAGCTTGGCACAGCTCGCAGATCATCGCCAACCTCCTGCCTTAGCAGGCAGCAGGCCAACCGCACCCACTGCTCCCGAATCCTGCGGGCATCAGCCGCCACTCCCCAGCTTGTGTTGTTTGTCTCGCTGGTCACTAGACGTTGGGAGCCAGGCACCGGAAGGGGGGGGG